GTTAAGCTCTTTCTGATTTGCGCTACTTTGTTTATGTCCTAAATCATCTGAAATAACTTGTTAGCTGTTTCTCTTTATTATGTTGGGGTATTGGATTTCTTAATTCAATTTTGTGTCTTAGATTCTCGTTAGGTTTACTCTTTTTGTGTCTCTTTTTTTAATCCCTGAAGGCTAAATTTTAAATAAGAGAATTTTGTTCAGCTTTGCATCATCTGAAAGTCTGATTACCCTGTTTTATGCTATATTATCATAATAAAATAGCATGATTCTTCTGAAATCAAACTCGTCATTTAGCTTGGTTATATGAATAGTTGTTATGATCCAAAATGAAAAATTATACAGTGGCCTTATACTGCCACTAGGTGGTGATCAGCTTGCTTATACAAGGCACAATAATCCTATGAATGCGTTTGGGGAGCCTGTTCAAAGTCAGTTACTTGAATTTTTAGTTAATTATCTGTCAAAGAGATTGGTCTTTTATTCGACAATCTTGGTGTAGCACTAGTATGGTTAGGGACTTGATGCACTCATGAAAGAACCTGAAAAAGGAATCAAGCAGGATCTGCATTCCCAAACAAGTTTTATGGGTTGTTACTAGACCTGGTTATTGGGCGGGTCGGGTCAGGGTCAAAGAGGGTCACATTTTATAGGGTCAATATAGGGTCGGTACAATGCGGGCTGCGGGTCGATAATGGGCGGGCCTACAAAATATTTATTAAAACAAATATTGGACAAAGCCATTATTAAATACATATGAATACAAATTAATCTATATAATTATTTTTACATTATGTATTTTCTTTATCAACTAAATTGGAAAAACATGTTGGTCCTATATTGACCCTACCCAATAAGGGCCCTGTCCATTAATAGCCCTGTCCATTAAAAACCCTATAAGTTTGGCCCTGACCCTATTATCATTGGACTACCCTGTCCAATAACCACCTCTAGTTGTTACTTGAGTTAACTTTTTTTTAAATTAAAATAAATATATTTACTTTTTTGGGTTCATATTTGTTGATTTTCTTGTTTGTCTCAATGCTTGCCCCTTTTCTAATTCTCGTACTCTCTTTGCTGCAGAATGCTCCTACGCATATTATTAGTCCAATTGTCATCACTTATTACACCCTCCAGTCTAACATGCTCTGCTTTACCTGTATACCTTGCCTTTTGATTTACTCAATTGTCATTGGTTGTCACAATTTGATTTACTCAATTGTCATTGGGCCATATCTATTTTCCAATGATCCTGAATCTAATTTGGGTTGGATCAGATTTTGACTGAAGTGAAGAAGGCTAAAAAAGCCATGGACAAAATTGGCATCGGAGGTACAGTGAAAGCTAGCGTCGGTTCTTCATGAGAGGGATGTGATTTTGGCTCTGGGAGGAGAATGATTGCCTTCGACAAGGGGCATTAAGTTCTGCATTTGTTGTTTTTCTGTATGAATATCCTGTTAGCTGCTCCTATTTTTGCCCTATAGGTGATCTGCATATCTCAGTGGTGGGGATCTTGAGAAAATTTCATCTGAAGATGAAAATATTCTAATCTTTGTATTAACAACCATAGAAGTAGAAAGTTATTTAGAAGATACAATAACGTTTTTTTAAAATTCAATGAAGGATATATGACAAAATTTTACTTCCATCTTTATGAGAACTTGTCGTCTTTGTCAGCAGGAACTTGTTGAGCGAGCTAAACCAGCGGGTTGGAGCCCAAGATTATTTCATTTATATTTACAAGGTCAAACTTTGCGGCTTTTACATAAATAATTACGGAGTAATTTTTTTTTTTTTTTTTTTTTTTTTTTTTTTTTTTTTTTTTGACAAGACGAACTAAGAAAGAAAGAAGACAACATAAAAATTAAAAAAACTTAGAACAGAACAGAAATTGTTGCTGACAAGCTTTGGTAGCCAACCAATGAGCCGGAGCAACCCACTGACGAGGAACCTTCCAAGGCTCACAAGCAAAAAACCTGGAAATGACATCCCTAATATCTTGAAGTAACCATAAACAGGAAATATCCGAACTACTCTTGCCATGGAGATGAGAAACCAAGTTCGAACAATTGTTGTAGATCAGCAAACGTCGAAAACCCCTTCGATCTGTTGTTCGGAGAGCCCAAAGACAAGCTTGTAATTCCGAGTGAATAGCAGAGGATGAGATAAAAGCTCTTGAACCTCTCCCGATTACCAAATCTGAGGTAGAATATTTGAAAATTCAGCCCGCACCTGCATATTGATCCCGCACTCTGAACACACCATCAAATATCAAAGTAATATTATAGTCTGACTCAACAGATCCTGTGAGGCAGAGAGATAAGAGGAACAGGACGAAGAGAAGCACTAGAACGATTACTGGATAAAGATATCGAGGCTTTAAATTCAGAGACTGTCGAACTCCGCGAAACCCAATCTTGCATAAAGAAAAGAACCAAATCCGGAGAAAGAACAGCCTGACGAAACACCTTGTGATTCCGAGCTATCTAGATAGCCCAATAGAAAGAAACCAAACTAACCAAAACCTCCCAAGATTTAGATTCCGCAAAGAAACCACCACCTCTACAAACCAGTCGGAAAAAGGTTTATCCTGATCCACTGTGATTGAAGAAAAAAGAGGAACTGAAACCTAGAGAGAAGAGACAACGGGACAGTCTCGAAATAGATGATCAATGGTATTAGGACCTCCAAGGCAGAAAACACAAGTTGAGTCTACAGGAAAAAGAGGTTGCTTCTCCATAAGAACTAAGTCGGCATAATAACATTGCATAAGCCGACTTTGTGGTGAACTTACCATCCCTAGTAAATTTCCAACATACAAAATCATCCATTGGTTTACTAGGACGTTCCATAGCTAAAATACGATGGGTTGTAGAGGAATTAAACAGTCGGTGCACTATATTCGAATTCCACGCGTAAGAACGCGAATTGATGATAGAAGAAACATGAGACGGAACACGTGTCTCACCATTATCACGAAATGAAATAGGTTCCCCAAGAACCCAAGAGTCTTCCAATATGCGAACCTGTGACCCCGAACCAACCTTCCAGGCAATGCCGTTAGAAAGGACGAAAAGACCTTGAAGCAGACTTCGACAACCCCAGGAGGAACCTGGAATCCTTCTCGTCGAGAAGAACTGAAGAGAAGGGTATTTTGCCATAAGAAGCCTGGAAACCAGCAATTGAGGATTATGCTGAATGCGCCAACACTGAAGAGCCAAAAGGACTGAGTTAAAGGAGCTCAGCTGACGAATGCCTAGGCCACCCAGACCCTTAGGAAGATGTAAAAGAACTTTTGAATGAAGAGCCAAACCCCGGGAACCTGAATCCGACTTCCACCAGAAACGAGCTAAAAGGTTGTCCACTTTGGAGCAGATAGAGGAAGGAATCTGGAAGACTGAGAGAATGTGATTGAACGGGGAGAGAAGAACTGAATTGATAATAACCAGTTTTGCTGCTGAAGAGAGTCCCAATGAAGCGAAAGTTGAAATACGTTGAACCACCTTGTCAATCAGAAAACTAAACTCCGAGACTTTACTACGTCCAAGTTCCACCGGTAAGCCTAAATAAGAACCCAGGCTAGCCTTACACTGGAGCTTCATACTACTAGCCAGAAAATCCCGATAGTCCGTTAGAGTATTGGGACTAAATTTGACAAAAGATTTCTGAAGATTAATTACCTGGCCTGACATAGAACAAAACTCAGATAATAGGTTCGTAAGATTCTCACACGCCTCAAGAGTAACTTGGAGGAATAACAAAGAGTCATCAGCGAAGAACAAATGAGAATTTGCTGGAGCACCCCGAGTAATTGAAATGCCTTTAAACAAAGATGCTTTTTCGGCCTTACGAAGCATGGCTGACAGAATTTCCGTACACAAAACGAACAGATAGAAAGAAAGAGGATCACCCTGACGAAGACCACACTGAGGATGAAAAGCCTGTAGCGGATTCTCATTAACCAAAATCTGATAAGAAACCGTAGTAACACATTGTTGAATAATGTGAATCCAATAGGGAGGGAAGCCATAAGCAGTGAGTAACCGAAATAGGAAATCCCAATTGACCATATCATAGGCTTTATTCATATCCAGCTTGATAGCTGCAAAGAACCGCTTTCTTGCTTTTGACTTGTTCATATAGGATATAACTTCATGTGCGATTAAAGCATTATCCGAGAGAAGACGTCCTGGAACAAAGGCATTTTGGAAGTCGGCGACCAAACTAGGCAACACCAAGCGAAGCCGACTCGTAAGACATTTCGCCACTCATTTGTAAATAACATTACATAGGCCAATCGGGCGAAATTGAGAAATAGACTCCGGAGCATCCACCTGTGGGAGTAAGGCCAGAAAAGTTCGATTCCAGTCCTTCAACATATAGCCATGAGCGAAAAAATGTTGAACTGCATTGACCACCGAAGAGCCCACTGATTCCCATGATACTTTAAAGAAAGCGGAAGAGAAACCGTGTTGACCTGGAGACTTACTGTCTTCAATGCTGAAAATCGCCTTCCGAATTTCTTCCGAAGTAAAAGGATCCATCAGAAATTTCTGTTGATCAGAAGAAAGAGAGGGTAATTGAAGACTATCCCACCATTCAACATCCTTTGAAGAGGCTCGATCCGAGACTGAATACAAATCTTTGCAAAAGGACTGGGTAATGGACACTATCTGAGAATAATCTCGATGCCAACATCCTGACAAGTCTCTTAAACCAAAAGTTCTATTTTTCCTCCTCCGTGTCTGAACCGAGGAGAATAAAAGACGAGAATGGGAATCTCCCAGAGCATCCCACTTAAGTTTTGCTCGCTGTTGCCAAAAGATATAAGCTGCCTGTGCTTCAGCAACCTTATCATTCTTGGTTGAGATAAATAAACAGCGATCCATCCGTGTGTTTAAAGAAAGAGAAGCTTGTTGGACGTCGAAGACTAAATCTCTCTAGTTAATACCCCACGCCTTTTTGTGGGAGACACACCAAGAAAGAAGGCGATCCCTAGAAACTTAGAGTTTCCTGGAAAGAGCAAACATGGGAGAGCCTGGAAAAAACAAACAAAAAACAGAGGAAATGATGTTCTGAACTTCCGGAGCTGATAAGCACCAGTTCTCAATTCTATATGGTCGTTTGGTATAATCAGAAGGAGCTGTATCATCAAAAATGATTGCAGCATGATCGGAGAATAAAATAGGCTGGTGAATAACTCTGGAGTCTGGATAATTAGAGAACCAGGTAGAAGACTCATAAGCTCGATCCAAACGTTCGAAAATAGGATCGGAATCTAATCTATTATTAGACCATGTAAAACGAAGGCCCGTAAAAGGAACATCCAATAAATCTATACTCATACGCCAAGTCATAAACTCCAATTGACCTGGGATAAAAAAATTACCACCTAATTTATCTGAACCATATTCCACTTGATTAAAATCTCCAATGATTATCACATTCGAAAGAGACTCTAAAATATCGCTAATCGATTTCCAAATCTCCATACGATTAGCAATATGAGGCGAGCCATACACAAACATTACATATTTTATTTCATCTCCTTGCACCAATTTACAGAGATATACATTAGGAGAACTATAAACAGGACCCAAACCTACCGGAGAAAACCAACATATAAACAAACCACCACTATGTCCTATAGCATCTATGCCACAACAACCCAAAAAAGGCAAATATGCTAATTTTTTTACAATATTTTCTACAGGTAACATAGTTTCCAAAAGACAGATCATGTCCAAACCATAAGAGCGGACTAGAGAGGAAATATAAGGAATTTTAGAGGAGTCCGCCTGTCCTAAACCCCTACAATTCCATAAAGCCATCTTCATCCAGTCCTTGGTGACTTGTTCCGTGAAGTCAACGAACCCTCAGAAGAGATGTGAGAAGAAGAACCAATATCAGCCTTGCGCTTCTTGTATGGTAGAAAACAAGGAAGATAAGGCGAAGCTGAAACTTGCTGCTGCTGCTCATTTTCAAGAAGGTGCTGCTGATTATCAGGGAGTGGCGTTGCCGTTGGAGTTAACATCCCCCCTGCCCTTTTACGCGGACTGTGTTGCTTAACCCATTCCCACACTTTTTCGCCACTTTTCCGCAGTTTAAGGCTAGAATAAGACCTCAATTTGCTACCAACTTTACGCAGAGGGGAGCAAGTTAGAGCTTTGGGAGAAGAAGACACGATAACATCCAGGGAAGAAGGCGAGGATGGTGGAGAGCAGTCCATGGGTATTACCGAACCAGAATCTGAATCTGGTAAATCATGCTCCGAACCAAGCTGCTCGGTATCCTGCAGATTCTCCTCTGCCATCAAATCCGAAGAGGGCAAAAACTCAAAAGCGCCGGAGGAAGAATCAGCTACGTACCTAGAGCGCTCCGAGCTTTCAACCGGGAAAGAAGACGACAGCGACGGTGAAGGAGAAACGGTAGCCGTCTGATCCTCCCAGTTACTCGGCCCTGCACCAAAGGGATCTTCATAAATTGGGCCAGAAGGGCCCATTGGGGGAGGAGAAAAAGTAGGAGGAACCGAGTTTGGAGTGGGCACTACTTGATCCGTACCCGTGAAATGTTGAGAAGCTTGAAAATAGGGATCGACATTAAAATTGGGCCAGCCTAGAAAAGAAGAACCATCTAGCCCATTAGAAAAAGACTCAAATGACAAAGGAGAGCTTATTTCAGAAGAGATCATCCTTGAGCTTAAAGCCCAGCCCGAATCATCGCAACCCATTTGACGTGAAACATTTTGAGAATTATCTGACCAACCTTGAATATCAGAAGAATCCAAATACCGTCGCCAACCATCATGTGAGCTATTTAACAAAGAGCCTCCGTTGTTATCTTCTGAATTTTGATTCATCTCAAACTGCCACCGATCCCTAACAGGAGTTGCATGAGTGACATGTGGTGTAGAAGTGTCAACCTGATCTCGTGTTTCAAGCTCTTCTCGAAGGAAACGATTATTCCTAAGATTTCTCCGGCGAACCTCATGGTCGCGGCTTCGGAAGACACCAGCTGGTGGTGGAGACAAGCCCGGAAAAGAGTCGGTCATAGCGTGATCATTAACTGTAGACCCAGACCTTGAATCATCCGAATCCAAGGGAAGACCTAGGCCACCACTATCATAGTCCGTCGGCCGAGAATCAGCCGAATTCTCCTGTGGGTCCTCATCGTCATAACCACCAAAAAACAACTCCGTGGTCCAATTTGAACAAACTGGACAAATTCCACGAAGAGCATTAGAGTATAATTTAGAGTCTGTAGGACCATATAGCACACGAGCGCCGCTTTCGTGGATCTGACGGAAGCGAGCTTCTAGATGGTAGTTAATTCATGCTTAATCCGCGACACAAGAATCCCCACCATGCCTGATAAATCCACACTTTTTACAGAATCTAAATATACCCTCATATTTAAATCGAACCCACGTGACTTGATTATTAATAATAGGAAAATAACAACCATGAATCAAAGGCAACGAAAAGTCAACTAGAATTTTAACACGAGGGTGAGGTATAGGAAACTGACCAATAGTCTTCAACCATTGTAACATCTCCGACATGTGATAGAACAATGGCTGCTATATCCGGTGTAGAATAGCGAACTGGAAGACCCTCTACTTGAACCCATAAATCCACTAAGTTTAGGTTGAGATTGAGTGGAACCGAATGACCCCTTAGACGCTGAAGAACGAACATACCACCCCGGAAATGAACCCAGCCTCTCGAATCAAGTTCATTTGCATCCTCCGGAGTGCCACAAAAGAAGATATAGTTTCGGCCATAAGGAAAAACACGAACTGGAACCCTTAAGTGCCAAAAGCGCGACACTAAACGCTGAACCATAATAGGGTTGAAATCCTTTCTATCATCCCAACAACACCCAATTACACTACAATTCCAATCTAAATTTAACCCATCATCAAGAGGAGGAGGAGGAATATAATCCTCTCCTATGTAGTGAGGATAAACAAAAGTATTTGGAACTATAAAACGGGACATAGTTCTATAAAAACGATAATTCCTAGGAAAGAAAAAATGAACAGTGAAAGGTAGAACACTTGAAAGATAAAGTTAGAGGAAGAACAGGGAAGAAAGTTAGATGAGTATGTGTGAGACTTTACTCACTCAAAGAGTTTCTTACTCTAGAGACTTTCTCGCTCTAGACTTTTTCGTTGTATTGCGGAGTATTATTTTTGTGTAAATGGTAATGGAGGTCGCTTGAAGCTTCTCCAATGGCGGAATTGTGGGTATTTTTAGAGAGAGAAAGAAGAAAGAGAAGCAGAAAGAATTAGGGAAGAAGAAGAATTGATTTTCTGTATATTGATGTATCGAGCTACAATATTACAATTGATTAAGTAGTGGATTCCGTAATATTTTCACTAAGTGAAAATAATTAACCCTCCCATTGAAGTAATATCATTATAAAAAACCCTAGCCTCCTCTCTCTCTTATCTCTCCTAAACTCTAGCCTCCATTATCAATTTTGAAGGGGCTTCCATCAGATTTTATCGGTGGAAAGCCCCAATCTTTATTTTCTTTTAAGCTTTTTGTTTCTTAGGTTACAATAATAATGTCTCCCTCGAAAGAAAGGGTCTATCTCCTTCAAAAGACAAGTTTTTTTCGATCTCCTTCAAAAGACAAGGTTTTTTGGACTCCTTCGAAAGACAAGGTTTTATTTGTGTTTAATTTGGTCTCCGGTTGTACGGGGCTATGATTGATTATGGCTCGATTTCGGATTACGGAATCAGCTCAAGATTTAACTTTCTCACAAAATTGCGAAGCGACGACGGATCCACTCAAAAAGTTGTATGAGACAACGAATCGAGAATGTGCCGAATTGTTATATTTATGTATTTGGATTCTTAGCCCTTCCCCGATTAATTCTTGTTTGATTTTGTTAAATTCATTTTCATTATTGTTAATTGTCAATTGTAGATGTCGTATAGCTTTATTTAATGAAATTTAATGTCCTTTAGGATTTCTTTCAAAAAAAAAAAAAATTAACTAACCCTCCCACTAACTAATCCAATTTCTAACAAACTTGTAACATACTCTAATTATAAAAATTCTTCAATGTCATTCTTTAAAAATGACACTATAACTTGCTGATGTGGCAAAATTTGATTGGTCTGTATTTTGTATTTTCATTTTGAATTATTTTTAATGTCCAAAATGTATTAAAATTGTATTTTATTTTTGTATTATTTTTTTCATACATGTATTTATTTTAGAAATACATAATTATAAATTATGAAAATCTAATTTTATAATTAAAATTAATTTTTAAATTTATAATTATAATTAGAAATCATAAAATTAAATTCACATCTACGTCTAAATTGTTTATCATCGTTCATCGTTTATCATCGTTCATTATCCATCATCATCATCGTTCATCAATCATCAATCATGGATTTGCTGCGGGACGGAGAAGAAGAATGACTGTCGGAAACATTGCCTGAAAACTGACCATATCAAACCCCGAGAAAGTTGCCTGAAACCTTCCTAAAATTGACCAAAACCGATCCTAAAACCATCGCCAAATAGCCAAGAACTGCCATGCCGAAATGCCTATATTGTAGCCTGAAAACCGCACCAGAAACCCACCCCAAAACCAATCAAGAAACCCACCCAGAAAGACCCCTAAAAAAGCACCAAAAACACACCCAAAATACGCCTAAAACCGCATAGAAATTCGTCGGAACCTAGAGCCGCTGCCTTGAATCTTTGCCAGATATACGTGCGCAGGAAGAGTCGCCGGAATTTGCAACCTAATCGCTGCACCTAATTGCCCAGGAGAGATATCATTAAAAAAATGGCCATTAACGTGATGAACACAATTGTCAATTGAAGAACAATGAAAACGGAGTATTTGATTTGCAGTTTTTTTTTTTCTTTTCTAAGTTTGATTTTCAGAATTTTAATTATAATTTAAGTTTTGGGAATGATTATTTTGTTTAAAAAAAACTATAATGATGTATTCTTTATATAAATACATGTATTTACAAGCATGTATACATGTATAGTACATTTAGCCTTTTAAAAATAAATTAAAAATTGGCCAATTATAACTTGACACATCATTATGTTGTGGTGTCATTTATTGAAAAATGACACTGTAGAAATATCCCTCTAATTATTACATAATTTGTGATTTAATATTGAATTAGCTTGCTTAACTAAATTCCAGTTGTATTGCAGCTTCACCCCATTCAAAAGAACTAACAAAATCAGGAAATCTTTGCTCCAAGTAATCAGCAGATTCCCAAGTAGCCTCATAAGCAGGAAAACCTTCCCAATGCACAAGTACTGCACTTGTGCTTTATTCTGAAACCTTACAATTTTTCTATCCAGAATAGCTGTAGGTCGAATGTCTTTAGATCCCACAATTTTTCCTTGAAAACATATGGAATATGGGCTACCATTGGCAGCTGACCTCCGAAACTCTTGAGTTGGGACACATGAAATGCGTCATGAATCTTTGCTTCAGTAGGTAATTTCAGCTTATAAGCAACTTTACCAACAACTGCTGCAACTTGAAATGGACCATAATATTGATGAGAGAGCTTATAGTTGCATCTTCTCTGAACAGTAAACTGTATCTAAGCTTGGAGTTTAAGCTAGACCCAATCACCTACTTGAAACACCCTATCTGATATGTGTTTATTAACCTGATTGTTCATTATTTGTTGAGCTTTTTCCAAGTGAAATTGAAGCTCAGATATCATTCTTTCCCTCCTTTATAGACTTCTATCAAGCTCATCAATCTTAACTTAACCAGCTAGATAAGGAAGATGTAATGGTGGAGGTTGATTATAGACCACCTCATA